GTGTCTCCCCTTGCTCCCTCCTGCCTCTGCCCCCAGCCCGGGAAGGGGTTATAGAGCACAGGGCAGTGCTGGGAGAGGGAGCCCCAGGCACGAAAGGAGGCGATAACGGCGATCTCAGGCCTTCTGCCTCGGGACAAGCAGAACTCAAAGACATGAGCCCCCAGGGTATCACAGAGCTTGGGGTATCCCGCTGGCCCGGCTCTGGGTCCCACCCCACGCCACGTGGCTGCCCCTGAGCTTGCTCCCGGCTCTGCGGCCGTTCGGGGACGTGGGGAGCTTGCTCCTTCCCCGCTGAAGCCAGCGGCCCGTTTGCCATTGACATCAGCGGGAGCCGGTTCCCCCTGCGTTGGAGCCGGAGAAGAGCTTGAAACCGGTTATAACTCATGGCCCGGCCAGTCCCTCTTCTGCCCCCGCCCCTTGTGCCCCACCAGCGATTGCACGCTCCTTCCCCCACCCCCCTCGAACACGCAGTTTCGTGCCTCTAGCATCCAGAACTACATGGACAAGCTGGGGCGGTACCACTCGTCGGAGGCCATTCGCCGGGCCTTCCGGGTGTGGGAGCAGGCCACGCCCCTGGCCTTCCAGGAGCTCCCCTACGATGACATCCGGCACAAGCGGAGGAAGGAGGCCGACATCATGGTGCTCTTCGCTTCCGGTTTCCACGGCGACAGCTCCCCCTTTGACGGCGTGGGGGGCTTCCTGGCCCACGCGTATTTCCCCGGCCCCGGGATGGGCGGGGACGCGCACTTCGACTCGGACGAGCCCTGGACGCTGGAGAACACGGACGTGTCAGGTGGGGCAGGTTGGCGCCGGGGCGCGTGGGGCGGGCGCATCCCGGGCCGAATCCGTGAGTCGGGGAAAGAGAAACAGGCGTGCGGCTGAGGTGGCCGGGCCCCTGGGTTCCTTTTCCCAGGCCCTCTCGGATCCTAAGCTGGCTAGAGAACTCCTCCCGGCGACAGCGACGCAGGCCGGTTAGCATCCCTGCGTTCACTGGCGAGCCAGTCACCCCGGCCTCCCAGCTCCACCCCTCGTAGGAAGGGCCTGTGTGGCTTTGTGCCCCCTGCTGCTTCCACGCCCAGGCTGTGTCTGTCAAGCCACCAGGGCCCGGTCCGCGGGGTCACGTTCGGTAAAGGCGCCACGTGGATGGGGGGACGGAGATGCTGCCGCTGCTCTGCTGCGCGTGCGGGCTGGCAGCTTGGAAAGGGTTCGGAAAAGAGACGAGATGGTTAAGTGATCACTATGGGTACAAGAGCCTCCCCCGGGAAGAGATTTCCAGTGCGGCTGTGTCTCTCCT